AAGGCAGGCGTACTGGCTACGCAATATTGCATCGCTTGATGGATGACTTTACCACGAAAACTCTGTCTCTAAAGCCAAACCGGATTGTTTATCAAGTGGGATCCTCGTACAAATGCTTTGACTTGCAGCAACAACTCGTCACAGAGCTTGGACTTGAAATGGTCAATATTGTTAGGAAACAAGACACATTGTATATTGTTGATGGACACACGACTCCAAGATCATCATGTTGCATTGTCTTGTTCATGTCATCTCCTCAGTCTGAAGGATACAAGGAATTCGTCAAACAAAAAATGGCAAGGGAATGGGATTTTCCTGTTTGGACTTTGAATGAGTTACAGACTTGCCGACGTCACTGCTATCCGGATGTACCCATTGAGACTATCAATGAGAGATATCGCATGTATGGTGGTGTAGCTCGTTCTGTCTTTGATATTGTATCAAATCCAATGGAGAAAGCTTTGACTGATGTTGATGCAGTCAAAGGGGTACGAAACATTGGATTCACAATCAAAATATCTGCAAATACTCATACATTGCTTCATACCATTGTGTCAGACGACGGACAGTACGAATTCCTGCATGTTGATATTGCTTCAATATATATTGGAGAACAACTCTGGAAACGTCATTCTGCTCAAATGATTACCAATATGCAGCAAATGTTTGATGGTATTCCAACCAAAATTTCAAGACATTTGTTTGAGATATACGGACATGTGGTTTTTTGTACTGGTGGACAAACTCTCAAATGCAGATGCCTGGAAGATGGTAAAGCAACAAAGATTACTTTGGATGCACTCATGGCCACGAATTACATTTGGAATAGATACTATCCCTACTGCAGCAGCACTTGATGGCAACTATTACGAACCGACAGATGACGATAATTTTGCAGCAATTGATTCACTCAGTCGACAGGGAATGTTTCAATTTACAGCTGTTGCTGAACATCCTATTTGTGGAGTTGATATTCTTACAAAACTGTGCAATTTGTATGATGAACCCAAACTTTATTTTGTGGTTCCGCCTCACCAGTTTAAAGGGTTCAAAAAGCAGAGTTTCAAACCAATTGATGGCACAGAGCAGGTACAACCCATTCATGGATTGAAGCAATACGTTATACAACTCCCACTAATACAACCAGATTTGAAGAGTAGAAAGTGATGGTTGTATTTTACAACTGATATGGCATATTTTCAACCATTCCAACCATTCCAATTATTTGATAATTCAATGTTAATAAAACTGGCATCATACAATTGTGTCCATTCAAGGGATTGATATGCATTTGGCATGGAAAGTCCAAATTCAAGTTTACTATTGTAACATACGCTTTTTGACAAATAATGGCTCTGTTGACACATCCTTGTACCATCTAATCGTGTCCGATTGAAGCATCAAGTATGAGTTTGGCAGACAACTTGCAACTTTAATCAACTTGTATACGGTAAGCATTTTGATAATGTCGGCATTTGTCAGGATATCACACCTGACAACTTTGAATCAAATTTAGCAGTGATTATAGGTGAAAACACCAATCTAGCACAACAACAATTCCAGACAATTCCAGACAATCCGATTCTGATTAGTTCTAAAACCAGAACTCACATTGTAACCACAAACCAAATGCGTTCAATATCAATCACAATCATCATGGACGAATGTATCAAAGTATGTCGTCAACTTTTGAATATTTTAGCAGTCTTGCTTAAAACAAGTGGTATCATCCAGTGCACTACATATACTACTCATGGTCATTGACAACTGGTTGTGTAGCAATAGTGTTAGTGTATTGTGAGCAAAGTATTGATGATGGAATAACACACATTTTGGTTATGATACTAGAAACACACAAACTTCGAATAACTGCGCAACTATATGTTCAAACTCTGCTCCAAATATATGTTGTTGTATACAGCAAACCTGGTAAAGTGTTGTATTTTGTCATGGCTGCATTGTCCCGAGACATAATTCGAGGCTTGTTACAATGGGTTACTGGATTTGATATCCAATAGATTTGATAAAAGTGTTGCAATTGACATTTATGTTTGTGGATAACAATATTTTGGAATCAACTCGTCCAATTTGGAAATCAATTGGATTTCTTGCTGATACCAATATCAATGTCAGTCCAACTCAATTGATTGGAGTAGCACTCGAGTGCTTGCAGTATTGACTTTGGTTCAAACAGTAATACACAGTGATACACTGATTATCATTTCAGCAAAAAATGATACATAAATGATCATTCCCAAAACAAGGAATCTGAATGACTGAGATACTGCGCTTATTATGCTGATAATCCAATACATGAAATGGCAATTGAAAATGTACAACATGTACATGTCAAATACATGCCAAACATAGCATCATTTTACAGTATGGTTTACAGCTGATACAACTGATACAGTTATTAATATGGGTTGGCTTGTAAATGCGTTTGTGTTGAAATGGCTTGAGCAACAATTTTGAACATCAATTTCGCTGTTTAAAAAGTTGCTCAAGCCACTATACAACAACCAATACCATTAAAAATGGACATTTATGCATTTATTATGTATTTAGTGTTGTTGCAACTCGACATATTACACGTCTTGATAGTGTGTTATATATCTCAACGACATTTGATCAGTCGGTAGTTTGTGGCAAATAATGAATTAGAGTGGTGTTTTGCTCTGTTTACAGATTGTTTGGCATTTGATTATTTAGTGTAGTGTGGTTAGTATTGGTCAGACAGTGTAATACACACTGATTGAATATCAAATACAACACTGGTGACAATATGAACACACATGCTTGTCAGTTTCAACCGTATCCTAGATATCAACCAAGTTTTGTCCAACAAACTTTGTACAAGTGTCGTGCAGTGTGATGGTAAATTGTCTGATGACAACGATATACGTTTTTTGATGACTTGTATTTGTAACTTTTGAACGATTTGTGGTTGAGATCCGCATGTTTACCAATCCTTTATCGATGTTTTGCAAAAAAACATGGTTTGACTGCATGACAATGTCAAATCCAAAATTGCATTTGGAGACAAATTGCCACCAAACATACTATGTATATGCATGGATAATGCCATGACTGATATTCGGGGTATTCATGATACAAACATCAATGCTGGTTTATTGGATGCAATCACAACAGCTGGTGTCAAATATTCAGGCTGGGATTCAACAAGATGCGACCTAATTGTCAGATCAATGGTTTTGAAAATATATAGTATTTTCAAACCCAACACATTTTGGATTTGGTGGACTGACTACAATCAAGACCATAACACTGTTCAACAATCACAGACTCGATGCCAACGACATGCATGCAGTATATGATTTGTAGCTTTGTAAAAGTTCCGTCTCGTGAATGTGGTGATATTGTTGACCTCGCGAGCAATCACTCTAAACTATACGACTATTTTTACAATGTAATTGATGCCAATATACATGCTTGTCAACACAATAGTTTTTGGATGATTTTGACAACATTTGGATGTGGCATTGAATTGGTTATAACATCAAAACCAACAGCGATAGTATCTTGGATCATGACTCGTCCAAAAGTTGTGCAGATTGTGCGAATCAATTTTCAAAACATATGTTGATTGATTATTGTAGCTGCCAACACTGATGAATTAGCAACAACCAACTTGGCGGTGACTTGCCAATGACTTGTCAGCAGTTTGGAGTGATTTTGATGATTTGGGTTATATGATTTGTAATATTTATCGAGTAAGCTTGTTTGGCCAGCTGTAACAACCAATGATGATTTAGTCTTGGTTCAACGATCAATCAAAACCCAAACCTGAATGCCAAAAACTGAAAATTGAAAAATACGCTATACTCGATGGTTTGTTTGTCTGGTGAATACCAATGTGCAATGACTACTCTTGAAATAGTGTCATGACAATGAGTCTTGTATTTTTGTCAAACTCCTGGTATATGAGATCATGCCGCTTTTATTGCAGGCAAATAAATGACTAAAAACACGAAACAATTGCCAATTGACCTATCAATCATACCATTGAGTACCATGTAAATCCAACATGTCAAAGTAACCAATCATGCAATGATTTGCTGAAACTACCGTGTCCATGAACGTATTGAGTAGGAATATTGCACTGACAGCCATCAGTCATTCAAGATTATGACATCCTGGCGCAAAGACTTGGAGTTGGTTTTCAAAACCTTGATCAAAACCTGTACTAATGATATCATCCATTTGTTTGTTCATGTCATTAATATACATATCGCTGATAAGTAGACAATCATGCAATGTTACATTCATCCACTATATAGTTGAACGAGTTTTGTCCATGATTGTTGATTGATGATCATCTCCAATCAACACTTGCTATTGGTCAAAATGTAATCGAAACTATCCGTTGAAACCCCTGCCATCATTTGATGATTTACATTGGGTATTAGTCTAGCACTGAACGTTGTCCATTATTCAAACATGCAAACCACCCACCATTGTACACATGATGTTTGGTCTGGGTTGCACATCTTGGATAAATAGTCTGACTAATTTAGTTGTGAATATCGGTTGAAAAACTGGTATTATTTGGTGTCCATATGTTGTTTATAGTATTGGGAATATTGGGAATATTGAATCTATTCAACATACCATGTCATACTGTACATTGGTGTTGATGCATAACCAAATGGTTGATAGTTTATGATGTATACACAACAAATAGTTGTTACAAACCATGATTTTCTACATCAAAAATATGAATCTTGCAAAATCGATATGAATTGTTGCTATTAAAACCATTTACTACGCTACCACTGTTATTTCCAAAGCTGTTGAATTGATTGAAATCGTAACTAACCAAATCTACTGAGATATGTCCAACAAAACAATCATGTCAATCATATCAAATGTGATTTATTGATCAGCTATCCGTGAGCCATGAGCCATGATAAATAGAATGAAACTTTGCGGCTTTGATTTGAACATTGACAATTATGCAAGTTGGTTTCAAGTTTACTGTGTGCATTGACACATGGTCACACATTGACAGATCAACAGACTACAGCTAGCGACAATCTGAATCAACTTTGGATGATATATATTTATATTTCAACAACCATTTTGACATGGTTCGAGTCACTCGGACAAATCAAATACATGACCAATTGAACAATCAGTCAAGTATTTGGTATACAGTGACAGTATATGTTGTAGTAATGGATTGTATATGTGATGACAACTATCCATAATCAGGGTAATGATCTGACACTATCTGATCACTGGATACATGATCGCAATTGGAGAGATCAACACAGCATACTACTGAGGTTGATTATACACCAACAACGATGCTTGTATATTGATTCACCCTACAGAGTGTTTTCGGCTTTGTTGACCCTATATGGTGTTTTCTGTGATCATTCATTTGAAAATTGCTGATTGCCGATTGTCACCCTTGAAGTTGCCGTCATTATAAAACGGCAGTCATGTATCAGATTCAACCCATTTTCATTACACTACTCGATACAATGTTGATTACTCTAGAATGCGTTATACTTGCGTTGCAAGCGGTTTCTGCAGTTCGACTTGCATTAGAATCACCTTTTGAAAGTGCCAGTCAATCAAACAATAGACTGTCAAAACGATCACCCGTTGAATTGGGTGGTGATATCACAAAATGTTACACAATTAGAGTCAATGTTGATGGAGTTGATGTATGTATCATGCTATGCATTGTAGTTTGATATCAATTTGTACCACGTTGAATCAATCTCACACTTGTTTAAAATAGTTGGGTTTGCAAGTCGATTCAACAATGTCTGATATAGTCGTACCACTTTCTAGTTCAAATGACGATATAGGTTTGACTCCGCAACACACTCCAAGTGGAGAGCCCGTTACTATAGATTACAAAGGCGATGAGTATAAAGGAGTTACATCCGACACCGCTGTTACAATTCCGGGTACTAGTATAACTGACATCAATTTACCAGTAGTAGCAGTTGAAAAACAATCGCCAGATCTAGTTGGTATCGATCCAGAGTTTGATGGAATATTTGGGTTCGGCAATTCCTTGTTGTCAAAACATCATCCACAAACCACTGCAATGGATGTTTTGTACACCAGTGATGTCATTCCCAATAACGAGATTGGTCTTCAACTATGTCCGTATGAAATGCTTTCAGATAGCTTCATTAATATAGGAAACACGGACGTAACTGCAAAATGCGGAACGGATGGAACAAGTATTGCATGGGTACAATCACCATTAAATGATGAATTTACTGTCAACATCAAGAGTATACTAATCAATGACGAACCAGTGAATCTGCCCGAGGAATTCCAAAAAACAATAATGGAAAATGGACGTATTTTGTACTCGAGTGTGGAAACATGCTTTTTACATATGCGTTTTCCTGAAGTAGTCGTGACAGCGTTGGTTGATGCTATTCTTGATAGTGGTGCGATCACTGTCAACATTAATATATTTAGTGACAAACTCGGAAAAGTAATGGTTAAAAAAATATTTTCGCAAAACTACGCAATGCTTGAATCCGGTTTTGATATCGATTGGGGCAAGCTGCCAACGCTTTCAATTACAATGTTTGCTGAAAACCCCGTAACTGATGCCAATCTCAACTCCGTTGTAACAATCAAATTGGGTCCCAAAGATTATATACAGAGAGTTGATTCTGAAAATTGCAAGTATTTGACAATTGTATGCAATGTGTTGTTTGATTAACCTGACTAATGTACATGTTGAATTATAGTCCTGTTTGCTGTAAAGGCTGGTCCAAATGACAATGCAATTCTTGGTATTCCATTTATGGCCCAACTTGGATTGACATTTGATCGAACACATAAACGCATTGGGTTTGGTCCTGGATGTGGATGCGAAGTCGCGACTAGCAAATATCCTACTATTTCAAACGGTTATCGAGTGCTCTGGCCATTACCACGGTAAACTGCTTGATATTGATGTGTTGATTGATATATTGATATTGATCATGAATTTTATGCATAGTGTTAGATTGCCTGAACAACCAAGTGGTTCAGGTTCAGATGGCACATTTATTCGCAGAAGGAAACCATAACTACAACTGATCAAGTAGCTGTACCTGAAAATGTTGGACATTGGTAATGTGAGACATATTAGGCAATTAATATAAAACGAATCAGAATCCATACGCAACGCATAACTGTTTGATGCAATGACTATCGCCACCTTTTATGCAATAACTATAGGGTAACAACGGACTTTATCAGTTATGTTGTTTAAATCACGGATACGCATAACTGTCATATTATTTTTATAAAAGGGTCAACCTTTTACTCTATTAAACAACACAATCAACATATTGGTTCATTTTTTCACGCTTATCTTTGACTTTTGTGATATTCATCCAAACTATATACAACATCAATATGTCGTCATATGTCCACGAGCAACACTACCAACAGTTGATAACCTAATAGCAAATACACATTATGAGCAACAAGACCATTGACACACAACACATACCTTGGAATTATGAACAAGATGCTTATAGATATTGAAAACACCAAGAAACAACTAGATGAACTCGATACTCGACAATCACCACATACATTCAGTGTTGCACCAATTTGTTGATTCCAACATCACCACATAATGTTGGACAATACAGCATGTCAATGGTGCATCAATGACACATGAACAGACGCTAAACATCAGTCAATATACATGTCAATATACATGTCAAAATACACCACAATTAGTCGAGTTTCAAATGGTCACATACAACACATTCAACACAAATTATAAATGTCTGCAAACCGTGCATATGCATGCTCAATCAATGGTGATATACTATATACACAACCAGTTTAAATATGGCTGGGAAATAACTGCTATTGGCCAAGTTATACATGTTCAAAGTGGATCATTTGCATCATCACAATCGCGTACTAAATGGTCGATTTCACAACCAATACACAAGCCTGTGCTGATATGGTGACATGACAATACTTGTATACACTTGGTATTGTATCATGTACAATTTCAATGCAATCCATGCATGTTTGATAACACAGTAATTGAATAGCTGACGTTTTGTAGGTTGGATATTATAGTCGATGTTTGGCGTGTCAATAACTCGGTCTACAGTGGTCGTACAATGTCGAAATCAACTGCAATGTATGGCACACATATAGTCATGTATTGTGTATATGATTACGTCGTCGTTGGGGCAATATATCAATGTGTATCATGACCACCAAATGCATGTCCGAAAGTGTCGTTTTGACGTGTTTGATGTCGAATATCTTGACCAATACTGACACTAGTTGCATGAAACTGCTACAGTATATGGATATTGCATTGGTATGTACGATGCATGCATGTATTGTCATGAAATTACAAAAAAATATACAATTTATACTTACCACTAGTATTTGACATGATACCAAAATTGGATATATTTTGACCAATAGTGACACTAGTTGCATGCGATTGACACTGAACATGAGTATACATGCATACTATATACTGGACATGCATCAGGCCATATCGTCAACTAAATTGGAAACATGTCATAGTCACGACTGCCGGTCAAACTGGATGCAACTGGAACACACTCAAAACACACGATACTACACTGTAGTTTGAACTGTATACACATCATATATTCATGTTACAATGGCCGATACATTCACTTGACTACAATACATATCGATGACTGGCATATCCACTAACGATTGATTGTGTAATGTATGAATATCAAATGCATTGTATAGTTTAATTGACGAGTGTATTTGACGAGTATTTAAACTAGTATTTAGACTGTTATTCTGACGATTGTTTGACGATTGTTTAATCCACATATTGACCAGTTGTCTGACTAGTATTTAGACTGTTATTCTGACTTGTATTTGACGAGTATTTTGACCTGCATCTGACCTGCATTTGACGAGTATTTGACGAGTGTTTGATTAGTTTAGCCTACATTTCAACCTGCATTCTGACCAGTTGTTTGACGATTGTCCAGACCTGCATTCTGACTAGTTGTTTGACTGTTATTCTGACCTGTATTTGATCATATTTGACGAGTATTTTGACTAGTATTTGACCAGTGTTTGACGAGTGTATTTTGACTAGTTTAGCCTGCATTTCAACCTGTTGTTTGATTAGTTTAGCCTGCATTCTGACCAGTATTTGACGATTGTCCAGACCTGCATTTGGCTAGTTGTTGGACCTGTATTCTGACTAGTTGTTTGACCAATTGTTTGTAAAAAACTACAGTCGTTCATACTCGAATACATGGTCAATGGCTCAACCAATACTACAGTTACACATACTACAGCTTGATGACAATGACAGTAACACTGTTACGACGACTGTTTCAAGTTTGTGTAAAACTACAGCCAACAAAAATAGGGATTCGGACAAAACTGCATTGACTGGTGTGTGTCGAGTATGTCGATTCAACCAACACATGCCAACACTACTGCGTCTCTGGTTATACAACAGCATACACATGGCCATGTATGACGACTGTCAAACTGTATGCAACAATCGAGTGTTCAAGTGTTGGGTAAAGTCGAATAACGACCAGAATTACACGATTTAATAAACTCGGTTGTACACTGTCAGGCTACAAACCTTGATCGTTTTTACAGTTATTGATAGTTATTGATGGTCATTGACAGTTATTGATGGTCATTGACAGTTATTGATAGTCATTGATAGTCACTGTCCAACAACACAGTCACAATAATATATTTACGACTATAATCATGCCTGATTTGGAGCGTTTTGTTGGCATATATTATGGTCCATTACACAACCAATACATGATATCATGCCAGTTTGATGCCATGACAATACATGTATATACTTGATATTGTATCATGTCCAGTTTCAATACAATCCATGCATGTTTGTTGGCACAACACTGTAATATATGATGGTTTTCTTGACGACATGCTGGGACAGTATGAGCTAGTCGATAATATGTTAATAACTTGGTCAGTAGTGGTCGTACAGTGTCAATGCCAACTGATATCGAATCAGAACGATATAATACATGTATTTTTGACGCATTTGCATACATGATAAATTGTTGATTGACTGATAGACACGATACTAGATTAAAATAACAAGTAGAGCTCGTCGTTTCAAACCAATTGCAAACTAAAAACTTTAATATCGACTATGACCACAAAAGTCGACCAAATGACTTGGTATGCACCACATATATGTAATTATGTGTTGCGGATCGAATTATGATGTCACTGACGCACTATGGTCAATATCTGACATGGAATGGGTCGACCAAAGTCCGAAAATGACGTTTTGGCGTGTTTGATGTCGTATATCGTCGTCAATACTGACACTAGTTGCATGAAACTGCTACAGTATATGCACATGACATTGGTATGTACAATGCATGCATGTGTTGACATGCGATACATGTAAAAAATACAACTTGCACATAGCACGAATATTTGACATGAAACTGGAAATGCGTGTATCTCGATGAATAATGACACTACATGCATGCGATTGATACTGGACATGTATGTATATACATACTATATATTGGACATGCATCATGGCATGTTGTCAACTAAACTAACAACATGTTATAGTCACGACTGTCGACCGAATTGGACACGTCGGTATACACTCAAAACACGACTTATTGTACTGTGGTTTGGACTGTATACATATCATGTATATATATTACAATGGTCAATATATCAATACGATAGCATCAATATTGACAAAGTTGGATATATTGTCCGAATATCAGACATGGTATCCTGTCCGAATGTCCGGATAATATCAGACACGAGTGGTTAGTATGACGTTTGGAGTGTCCGAATGCGGATATATTAATGCAGCGGTCAATTATGGTGATGATCAGCATACGTATGCAACGGATTACGGCTCAATTGCCGGGTTTTTTTTGTACGAATATTGGGTGGTGATGCAAATGCAGCCATATGCCTATACAGTACTGCATTGGCTGACTCGATGACATGTATATACACATTACAATATGGTTACAATATGGTAACAATACAGAGTTACAATGGCTGTTGTATAGGGTCAAAATAAACGGTTGAATAGTATTGAAATACGACACAAAATCATGCAAAAAAACAACGCATTGTGGGGTAATGATACACTCATGACACACTCATGATACACTGTATGATGGTGGTCGGATCACTGTGATATTGGACAGTAACATGCATACATGTTGTATACACAACCAGTTGAAATATGGATACAATCCGAGTGTTACTGATGGGACTACAAATGATTGCAATAAAATTGTAATGATCAAGCGTAATTGAACATGTACAAAACGCACGTCCCACACATGGACAACACACTGCAATTCAATGGCACAGTACATGATGACGATGCAAGCGATATGTAAGTATATGTATATGGATATGGAGGTACGATGATTGCGGATACAATGGTGTACAGATCAACAGTGAATGGAGCACAAACAACAATGGAGCATGGACATTATAATGCGTACAAAAAGATGATCACTACAGCAACACACACTAGATACAGTTTTGATGACAGGATGGTAATACAGCAATCAAACCGGCAGTATGCGATACAGTATAACGTATAGCATTGTATAAAGTGATGATGAATGGCCATTGATTGATATTGGTGACGAATACAGACTGGAATGTATGGTCATGGCACGACGATAATTGACATGTAAAACGGCCAAGTAATATTAAATTGCCGAGACGTTACCAAAGCAATGTTTTTGAACAAACCATTTGGCATAATCAGAAAAATAACGAGACTTAAACAGGGTCATTTATTCAGTGTGGAAGGATCCAAGAACCGGATATCTGTGAGAGCACAACCCGATGAAATAACTCGGCGGGCAGAACAGATCGGTGCAGCACACATTGATAGGCTTTTGATAGCTAGCCAATTGTAATTATCACTTGGAACGTCCCCGCCGTATTTGTTGATATGGAGGGAGCAGCGTTTGTCGGAGCAATCCGTCGGGTAATTATTAATTGGTGCTCATTGATGGGTTAGCACTATGTGGTTTTTGGTTTCCACCCCGAAGCTATGCACAATGGTAGATTTGGGTGACTCGGAATATAATGGCTAAATTATAGTGATGATAATGGCACTACTGACAGCGATGACAGTATTCGGCACGACCATATCTGTTACTATAATGCTTTTTGATATGAATCAGCAGTTTTTTGAACGGCATATTGGGCCCGACAGGGTGATTTGATGACCTACACAACCGAGATTAGCACGGAATGCGTGAAGCAAAACCGAATTGATTAGGAAGTGTACAGAACCAGATGAACCAATGGCTTGAAAAAGCAAATGTTGATGTTTAGGATGTGATGTGGTTGCAATATTTTGATTTTTGGGATTTTGATTTTTGGATTTCCAGATTTTTTGATCTTGATTTGGATATGCAATTACTACAATGTGGATACCGTGAATGTGTATTGAACAGTTGGACAAGATGGATTGGGACAACTAGCGAGGTTTAAATCTTAGTAGTACCAATTATTATATATGGAGTAATGATTTGACTGGGCCAATTTGGATTTGGATTAGATTTGTGGATTTTGAATTTTCGGATTTTCGGATTCGGATTCATAATTTTAAATTGAATTTGATTTGGATTTGGATTGTATTTGGATTGGGTTTAAATTTGATTCTAATTGAATTTGATTCAATACCAAATAGCTTGGTACAATGATTACAGTGCACACCATATATGATGATTACCGCGAAAAATACCAGCGCAATTGTTTTAAACCAGTGGGTTCCCCAACGGGATCCATGTAGGAACCAACCGATTCAACTGAACACTACACAAATGGGGTAAACACATGGTAGACACATGACGAATAAACATTAATGTAAGCGATTTTGAGTGATTGGAACAAAAGGTGATGTGCACGACGTAAACAAGACGGCAAAGCAACACAAGAACCGTGATGATCAAGGGGAAAATGGTATTCGAAACACAATGTTGGGGTTGATATGTTGAACGAGGGACTGCGACAGTGGAGTATTGTCATTTGATGACAAATGTCCACTTGGGAATGATACAATTGGGTATTGTTTCCACAAACGGGCAAGCCAAACATGGTAACATAATATGGTAACATGGTTGGTGAGTTGCGTTTGGAATGGACGGCGTTGTTGTACTTGGTACAGTGACAATGTCCACTTGGGAATGATACAATTGGGTATCGTTTCCTCAGACGCGGCAAGCCAAACATGGTAACACATGGTTGGTGAGTTGGGTTTGGAATGGACCCCACTTGATGTGGGAGTCTGACCATGCCATGGCATGTGCATTATTGCATATAACATGGTATGGTACCGGTTTCGTCACCGGGGACTTGGTCAGATAATGACCGAGACCAAACAGACGCCGTACCGCGAGGTATGTGTCGAGGGGGAGTGGGATGGATGGGGAAGTGGGAAATGTCCGAGGATGATGTCCAAAGACACGGTGTCCAAGGACCATGTCCGAAAGACGTGGTGTCCAAAGACATGGTGTCCGAAGGCCACGTCCCGAGGACTGGAGGATCGGAGGGAGGACCATGTCCAAATGGACCATGTCCAAATGGACCATGTCCAAATGTCCAAATGGACAAGAGGACCACGTCCAAAGGTCATGGCATTTTTGAATGACAAGCTGACCCAATGTTTGTACAAGACGATGCTAAAACAGCAGCATTGTACAAGCCAAGGCCAGACGGTTATGAATTGAATAACAAATGGGGTAACGACCCAAAGTGTAGATGACTACTTGACAAGTAACGATAACGGAGCAAACAATGGAAACACGATAGTTTCAATGACGAATGATGATGGTTTGTCAGTTGACAAGTGATTATTATTTGAGAATCGAGTAAATAGTATGGTGAATGTGGGAGGTATTGATACAATGTATTGATACCAAGAGTGAGAAATAATGAGTGGATAACAAAAAGTGAGAGAGTGAATTGAGGAGATTGGGCAACCAAACTCTCCAAAACACTCTCTCCCATAAAAGATAGTTACCTGGTTGATCCTGCCAGTAGTCATATGCTTGTCTCAAAGATTAAGCCATGCATGTCCAAGTATAAACGAATATACAGTGAAACTGCGAATGGCTCATTAAATCAGTTATAGTTTAATTGATAGTACCTTACTAGTTGGATAACCAGTGGTAATTCTAGAGCTAATACATGCAACAAGTCC